TAACTATTATACTTACGTTTTGTCATTATTTATTTCTAACAATTAGGGTTTATTTATAACAAACATACTTTATTATACCTTAGATTAAAAGAAATGTTCAATTACATCCTCTATATCTACCGTTTATTTAGGGAGGAAAATACCCATAACGTATATTTATTGAAAAAGGATGTCTTGATTTGTCTATTAGTCACATGACTGTCTAAAGAGAATTGTTAAAATTAAGCAAACAAGATATGTTGCAAAACATGTATGCACCCTATCCGTAGTCAATTATTTATAGGGCCAGGTTATTGTGACTGACATTTGACCTAATGACCAAAAAATTAATAAGGGGTTTCTACTGGTCATAACTAGTCACTTGGTCATTGTGATCGTAAAGGTTGTGTGCAGCAATTTTATGACTAAGTTATCACAAATGTTACCAAATAATTTATGCATATTTTTTTTGAACCATGTAGGCAAATTTGTTATATTACAATGGACCTTGAAATGTGTATACTAAAAGCATTTTAAAAAAACAAACAAAGCAACTACCGTTTTTACGTACAATGTCAATGTGACTTTGACGTTTGATGCTTAGATCAAAAATGATTAAGTACAAGCCATGACCAATGCATCTGTGAAGTTTGAAGGTAAATTGCCCATACGTTGTGGAGATATTGATCAGAAACCATTTTTACCTATAAGGTCAATGTTATCTTAAACTCTAACCCCTTGTCTCTAAAAATCCACTGAGGTCATCTTCTGTCCAAACGCAATGCATTTGTAAAGTATGAAGGTCAATGATCCATGGGTTGTCGTGTTGTCAGAAAGCTGTTTTGACAAAAGGCCATTGTGACCTTAATTATGACACCTGAGACAAAAATCATCAGGGGTTATATATCTATAAATTGGCGAAGACAAATGTACCTATGCAGTCATAGGGTCAATGGCTCATGGGTTGTCAGGTTATTGATCGGAAAACGTTTTTACTGGCAAGGTCAATATAAACTAAACCTTTGACTCCTTGTCCCAAAACCTAATATGGGTCATGAACTTGCCAAAACCAATGCAACTACGACGTTTTTGGGCCAACAGTCCATGTGTTGTCAGGTTATTGATCAGAAACCATTTTTACGTACAAGGTCAATATGACCATGACCTTTGACCTCTTGACCCCAAAATCAATAGTGGTCATCTATTGACCAAGACCAATGCACTTACGAAGTAAGAGAGCCAAGGGCTCATGAGTAGCAAGTTATTGATTGAAAACTCTTTTTTTTCTACAAGGTTATTGTTACCTTGACCTTTGATCCCTTGACCCCATAATCAATAGGAACGTTTTTGGCCAAGACCAATGCACCTATGCAGTTTGAGGGTCAATGGCTTATTGGTTATCAAGTTATTAATCAGAAACAGTTTTAACCTACAAGGTCAATATGACCTTGCTTTTTGACCTCTTGACCCCAAAATCAATAGGTCCTCTATATGCTAACACCAATGCACCTACGACATTTGAGGGCCTACAGCTTATTGGTTGTCAAGATATTGATCGGAAACCGTTTTTAACTACAAGGTCAATATGAACTTGGCCTCTGACCCCTTGACCAAAAAATCAAAAGTGTCATCTACTTGCCAAGACCAATGGAAGTACCAAATTTGAGGCCCAACAGTCCAAGGGTTGACAAGTTATTGATCGAAAACCGTTTTTACCTACAAAGAAATAGGGGTCTTCTACTGGCCATGACCAATCCGAAGTTTCTAGGCCTAAGCGTTCTTTAGTTATTGATGGGAAATCATTTGGTCTACAGACCGACCGACCTACAGACAAATGCAAAGCAATATACCCCCACTTCTTTGAAGAATGGCATAATTATGAATGATCCTATGATTTCGACTATCATGACGTTATCATAATAATTTGATATTTCATTTCCACTCACAGTGGTGATTGTATCATGTTACGTTCTTGTCAGAGCGCAATATTTGCTGCAATTGGCGCTAATCTCTACATAAAGGCCAGGTATGACGTCATTTCATTTTATTATTGTTTTATTTTAAGTAAAAATCTGACATTCATAAAATCCCATGTCGTCAATTCAGTTAAAGTCAATGGATGACGTCATTTAGAAATGGCATATCAGTTAAGAATTATTATACCGGTTACGGCATTTTCTACCCGTGTTATATCAGTTAAAAGTACTCTTGCACTTCGAGCTATTTCATTGAAATTGTTTAAAACTCGTCCTAGAAGAAATTATCAAGCCTGCGACACGATCGATTTAGAACCTGTCATGGAGTCAATTAAACAATTCTATATGGCATTACAAGTATACAATCTTAGATGATATACATTTTGTTGTACATTGTATAAATGTGATGTATTTCAGATCGCCAAAAGTCTTATCTGAGGTAGAAAAATAATTCGAGATGCCGAATGATGGACATTTCACAAACTGAACTTTGCCTGTTCAAGATTACGGCACATCAAAACCTGTGAATATTCTGCTACAAGCGATTGGTAATGGAAAGGAATAACATGTTGTAAACATGTTTCGAATTGACTGAATTGTGAGAAACAAAAACTTATAAAAATATTAACGTCATAATAGATACATTTAACAGATAGTTAAATTATGTAAATGTTTTATTAAATCTTTGCTAAGGTGTGTTTTTTTTATTATTAATTAGTTTTAAAAGTAAGGTGTCTTATACGCACTTTGTAGCATTTCTGTTAGACCAGCGTCAATACAACTGACCTACTTTTTAAAAAAAATAATGATGAACAGTTCTAAAATAAAAATGGAAGGTAGACAAGTCCATGTATAAAAGTAAGCTATTCGGAAAAATGCCCATGCTCTAATTAAATGACCATGTATGTACGTTGTATTAAACTTAAGTTAGGGTAGTTTGTCTTTGATCTTGCATTACAGCGGGTATTGTATTCACATTTTTAACTTGTGTTATTATTTTTTCTTTGTCTGTGTATATATATATATTTGTTGTTGATGGTTACTTGTGTCTATAATTTTGTTTGTGTGCGAACATATTAAATTGTTGTTTTTATAAGAATGATATTACTACGGGATATTCATGTTGGGTGATATGTTTATGTTGGATTTTTAGTTATATTATTTGATGTTATCACATGCTCTTGTTTTATCATTAATTAATTTTATTAAAATATGAGGTATTTCATATTGATAGTTTAAACAAGAGTATACATAGTACTAGTAAATTAAAAAAGCTTCTTTTGAAAATAAATACTTGATAAACAACTTATCATCTTGTTAGTATTAAATCGGCATTTTTAATCAAAAGCACTTTTAAAGTGTGTAAAGCTATATATCTGTTTACAAACTTTGTATTTTCCTATACATACACGAACTCATCCCAAACGATTAAAAATCTGGATAAAGTGTGATCCCTCAGAAGCATTAATCACAACAAAATTACATGAATATTGCAGACTCGGTTTGATTGAATCTGTACATGAGGGATAATGAAAAAAAAGGCAACATCCCTCAAGCCCCCTAGCACCGGTTTGAGCAGTACTAAATTTAATTTTCACTTAATAATTTTGGAATCTTGGAATCAATGATCCCGAAGGACCAAGAAATTGTAACAACACTGAAGTACGGGGCAACTTTTTACAGCTGCCACACATCACTTGACACCAGCTATTGTGAAGTATAAAAATCTGAATAATGTGGTATCCCTTGGAAGCATTAATCACAATAGCAACCGGTGTAAACGTTGAAAATTTTATCCTTTTTACCTGCAAATTCATTTGTGTTAAATAGCAGAGACATTCTAAGTAACAACAACTTTTGAGAATCTACAAAATTGTGGTGAAAACAACATAATTTTACCATTTATAAATTTTATAAAATGATTTCAATATGTATTGCTTTATACCCTTTAACAATATCAAATATAAAATAAGTTTGGATAATAATTTCAATTAATTTGTGGTATTCTTTAAGCTTATAAGGTACGAGAATAACATATTTTTTATCTAGATATTGTCTTCGTCTGAGTATATAAAAGAAGCAACAGTTGACTCAGCTTCGTTGGTCTGGCTACATGTATACCATTGACGTCAATTAAGAACAATCCTTAAAGTTGATAACAATACAACATTTTAAATTAAATTGAGATATCACGCAGTGATGATAATGAAAAATGAAATTAAATAATTACCTTCATGGTCGGTCAATATGGGAAATTAAAAATTTAAGACCCTTATAGTTAATGTTGTCAGCTTTTTATGTTTTTCTTTTACTTGTGTAACAAATCGTGGCTTGTTTATTAAAAGCATTGATTGGGAACTTGGTTCAATTATGTGTTTGACTGAGAGGTCGATGAATTCTAACATGATAGAGGGGCATGGGATAATATCATTATATAAAAGGTTTTTTCGATTATAAAAGCATGACCTTTAAAGAATATAGGATTTTTAATAACGACTAATACTGTAATATTAATGATTCATGCCATGGCAGTTGACTTTAAAGAACATTGACACAGAGATGTCACGTTTTTGAACAAAATTTTATTTTGCTGTCGTCATCAACATTTTAAGAAAGGTAACTGGGACGAAATTATGAACAGAAAAGACATTCATATACATTAAAATCATATACATGTCGTTGAAATATTGAAACAGGTTTTATCTCATTCCTTACACATATTTTTTAATTCTTTCTTGTCCATTAAACAAGATACCCGCAGGGATATAAATCACGCGAACACACTTCGTTTTATTCAGAGTTTTATTCGAACATTTACTAGTGATGCCACGTATTTATTTGAATACTCTGTAAGAAGGACACGCCAAAATACAGAGAAATCCATAATTTCAGTTATGATTACTGCAAAGGTTTATAGATGTAGATTAAAGAAAATATTAGAGAATGATCTATCTTAATGAATAGATAAGTGGCAATTAGTAGAATCATACTGAAGCAAAAGACATAGGACAAAAGTTGACAGTGCGGGTCTATTTGAATTCGTATCTATATCTTTGACTTATTCTTTCCTGAGGTACAAACAACAATGAAGAAAACACTAGTAGCAACGGTGATAAAAATATTAAAAACGACAAAACTGACTATATCAATCATATTGCTCACTTCTTTCCATATCACAGTCCTGTTGATAAGTGGAGAAATTGTTTTCTTATTGTTACCATTATTTACATGTCCTTTCTCTGCCTGCTTAGGATGTTCTTTACTTTTGCTCTCCATTTCCTCTTTTAAGACATCTGTATTTTCTACTTTCCTGCTTGTGTGCCTGTTATATTCTTTGTGATGTATAATGTTTCTTGTCACCGTTTCCAACAACCCATTTGTAGGGCCTGTGTCTTTTCTGTAGTATAACCGTAGACTGTAAATGTTCACAATAGTTATAACAACACTCATCAATAGAATAGTTAACAGATAGAAACTAAACACTGGCATGTGCTTTGATGACTGTGGGAGATTCTCGCCAACAAGACTTAGAAATACCGCGATGGCCAGCAATACTGTTATATTATATGACATACGCTCTCCACTCTCAACCGGAATCAGAAATATAATCACATTCAAGAAAGTCATTGCAATAATTGGCAACACGACATTTGTAAGTACAAAACGTGGCCTTCTTGCCAAATTGATACGGAAAACTACAGTGGCGTTATCATAAAGTTGTTCCATATCTGAACCTATGAGATTCCATGTTCCACTTTCAACAAAGTAGCGTGTAATTACCTCCTTCAGGACTGGATGCAAAGACATTTCCGTTGGTGAATAAATTATTGATGAAAATTGAAAACTACACCAATGATCACCAAAAGGGTAGTTTTCTAAGTTTGCCATACACAGAACAGACAACGTATCTGCTTCAATAACAGTAGCAAGACCATTGTGGTTGAAGCGAATTCTCTGCCAAGACTCACCAAGTTTATCAAATTTGTTTACACTGTTAACAAGGATCAAATCTGGTTTCCAAAAGTTTCCGCTTTCTGTGACAATATCTTTCATACCACCGTGGTCATCAGGATTCCAGTTGACAAACTCATCAGTCCAAGTTTGTGTTAAACCAGCAACGACAGTTAAACTTTCATGAACCTCTTCAAACCTTATAATTGAAACTATATCAAATATTATGTAAACATCTAACCTAGAAGATTGGTTATGTACTGGCCGTATACTCTTCTCGTTGGAGATTGTTTTATTTCTTAGTAATGTCACAGCTTCATCATAAGTTTGACCCAAGAGTATGTCCATGCGCACGAAAAAATATACACATGCACAAGTAAGGAATAAATCCGATTGAAGTTTCATTTTAACTTACACTTGCGAATAACAGATATTCATGCATATAATCGGTGTGCCTCTTTAATATGTTAGAACGTATTTTAAAGTGTTTTACAAAATTACAAAAAAATGTCCTTTTATTTAAACTTGTATTTAAAACGGACCGTGAAAAAATAAATAATTTGAATATTCCTTTGGGCCCATAAAGCAAAACTTTTAATAAGATCCTTTAGCTTATTTTTTATGTGTATATGACACTCTTTTAATTTCTTCTTAAAAATTTCCTAAAAAGGGATTTGTTGAATGTAATTCATTGGAATGTATTAAAAAATAGTTTTTTTAATCATCGCGGTAAAAATATTCATGTGTACTAAAAAATTAATTTCCCTTTTATGTTATAATCACTTACAATTAATGTTCTCTTGATTCTTAATTAACACCAATCAATATTGGCTTTCAGTGGCATCGTACCTTAATGCAGTACTATTTTAGAGATACATAAAAAGCTTAATTACTCTAAAAATCTATATTATTTAATAAACTCATCAACTTGATTGATTTTACAATAATGGGTAGATATTTCATTCTCAAATTTGTTTTCTCAATAGTTTCAGGTTACCAATTAGTGGAAGCTTTTAATTGATATCTTTCGTCAATTACAAAACAATGTGAAGTATAGCTTAGTCAAACAGAATGCCGCATATTAAACCTTGCCAAGCTAAATATCTTTAATGGACTTGCCAATCTTTTAATCTTAACAAAACCAGTCCGTTTTCATTTTAAAGGAAATTTCTAAAGCAATACTAGTCTGACTAAACAACGCGAACCATTAATCTTTGTCTGCACTAGTTGTGGAAATTGTAATTACTTTTATGTATGAAACTTGATGATACAAAGTGATAATATCAGCTTAAGCGTTTAGGCGTTTACTATTTATTTTTACACAATACGTCACAGTATTTTTGCAATAACATTTATATCTGGCCCCTTTTTCAAACAATTAGTCATTCAATCTCATTCGCGCATGCTCAGTAGACTATGTGCATATACCTAGCTAGCACACTGAAAAAAAGACTAAAAATACATAGTAATCATCACGAAAAATGACTTGAATACATAAAAAATTATTAAGAAACATTCAGTGAATTACCGAATTAAAATTTATAGGTGGACTTTTGGCAGATAATACTAATCTTTTAAGGACACGAATGGGGACATGACCGGGGTCCGTTCTCACAGTGCCTTGTGGATGGACCTTTATAAAGAATGCATACATACAGAAGTCAAGCATAAGTTTCCAGTGTTTATATGTTAATAACTAAATGGTTTTGTATAGCAACACACTGGTCCTTTTATATAAGGACTTGAAGCCACATGCCATCTTAACAACAAATAGGAAACATGTGGACGTGTGCTGGTCGCAAACGCACTATGTTGGTTTTGTCATGGCACGGCTGATTAATGTTTTCCGGTAAAAACAGGTCCATAAACATTAAACAATTAGATTTATTTTATCTAATTTTATTGAACAATTTATTTTCATTTTTTTCTATTCTTGTCTTTTTTTCTTTCTTTTTTTTTTCATAAATCTTTTTTTAACACCTGTAAGCAAATTAACGTTATTTTCTTAATAATAGTAGAAAAGTAGAAAACTGAGGGTTTATTGGCGACGCCGGTGAGCGGCGTCGTCTATTATGGAACGCTTTTTATTTTTGCCTATGGAAGGAGCTGTTATTATTAGCAGTTAATTTCATGTTGTGTTAATTATATTTATTTTGATTCGTAAAAATCAAGTAAACAAATATGTTGTTATATTTGTATTTAATAACTTTATATAAAAAGCATGTGCATTGTGATATTATTTTCACGAAATTGCAGGCTCTGATTAACAGCTTGTCCCTTTGTTTTATTGACAATGCTAAAACCCGGATTTCGAATATCGTTGTGGTCTACATTGATGTTCATTCATTTATATATTTTCAAAACTTTCCTACAAGAAGAAAGTTCACCTGCAAATGAGTATTAGGATAGGTAATGGACTGTTGTAAACGATTATCCTATTGATTTTATCCATATTACGTTTATCTGTTGAACAGAATGGTTGTTTTTACAAAGTGTACCAGTATCCGGATGTTGACAGCTATCCGATTTTCTGCAATTACTGCTGTCACATGGCCATCTACTTTTTTATGAATACTTTACCATTAATTTGCATGGCATTATATAAATTAAAATGAGCTTGCAACATTTCTTAATTTTGATGTTTAGGGTGTTCTTTTGGGTTTCATGTTTTCTTTATTTCAAGGGGAAGTAACTCATGTTTACTTAATTATTTGTTCTTTTCTGTCTATCTTAGGTATTACTTACAATTTTTGTTTTATAAAATTTACCAGTTGTAAGGTCATCAAAAGCAAAGAGGCCCTGATGAGTGAATATTGATATATATATATACTTTTACTGGCTTTATATACCCAATATTTCATATTTATTTAATAGAAACTTGGAATTATGAATGTTATGTGCATACATTTATATCTTAGTATATTGGTATGATGAGACTTACAATATTTCTGAATTTAAAGAGTTGCAGTTATGTCATTATTATTAAAGGGATGAGACTTTCATTTAAAGTTATAAATGATAATACATGTATTGATTGAAAATGTCCTGAAACTTGGATCAAGCAATATAATTGATAAAGCCTCAAAAAATCATGTTCTGAATAGTTATTCTAATTTTTTTCTAACATGTGCATAGTTTGAAAAGGACAGCTTCTGCCTTATCTGTTTGTAATGGAGGGACACCGGTCTCAACCTCCAGGTCTCCTGAGTCAACCCGACAACAGACTTTTCATAGAGTAGATTGATACTTGTCCTTGAATGAATTTGTACACTAAATTTTATAGTGGGTGATTTGTGCCACATGAAAACCAACCAAGTACAAAAAGTAACCGTGCGCCAGATGAAAACATGAAAATACAATCTACCACAAAGTGGTTCGTTTGTTGCATTTTCATGTTTTCGCCCGGTGCCCTTGATGTAAAATACAAATCAGCCTTCATAAAATTTCTTATAGATATTGTACATGTATTAGCACAGTTATATTCACTTTCAAATTGACCTGTTATAAATAATGGCATAACCAATAACTGTCTTAGCCCTTTTTAGTAAAAATAATTATACAATAATAATTATATAAATTGTTATTTTAATTAAGACTATGAGTATGTAAGGTTTTTTTCTCTTATTTATTAATTAAGAATTAATTATCTGTTAATTTAAAAATCTAAATATCTGTCACGGTTTAGAACTGTTCACTATTTAGGGGAGAAAATGTGTAAGCGGCCAGATAGCTCAATCGCTACAGCCGCGGTACATTATTCTGTGGGTCACAGGTTTGAGTTCTGGTCAAGCTGAAAGTTTTTCTCATCCTGTTACTGCAAATAACCATTAGTTTAATTTACTATGCTCTGTAATAATAAAACATCAGAAATTCAAGTACATGAATCAATATAGTGGGGAAAAAGGTTTAGGTTTAGAACTGTTTCATTATTATAGAGAAAATGTGTAGCCGGCCGGATAGCTCAGTTGGTCTTTTGAAAGTCATGGGTTCGAGTCATGGTCAGGCAGTTTCAGTCAGGGTTTAGAAGTGGTTTTTCAACTGACACATGTTTGATTCATTTAATAGATTGCATTTAATTTGAAATGGACAAAGGCAGTATTGCGTGATACTTTTAAATCTACAAAAAGCATTTGGTACAGTTGATCACACTATCAAATCAAATCAAATCAAAATTTATTTATTGTCGGTATACATATATAACATTTTACAAAACATAAGCTATGTATAGCTTTTGACCGACATACATGCATAATGATATAAACATAAAACTCATAAAAGAAGCACATTAAGAATTAAACTTTGAAAGACAAATGGTAAAAGATAAGTTAAATTACTATAATATGGGATGTAGACACTAAATGTTATAATTTAAAATAAAATAATAATAATTAATAAATAGTAATGATATGCTAAGGATATGCTTAAAAGTTCTATGCTGTATCATAAGTGAATAAAATGATATATATCTAAATAAAATGCGGAGTATATTAGCACATACATAAAATAAGATTACATTAAAAGTGGGTGGATACTGCTGATCTTGACCCAGGCCTAGTCTGGACTGCTATAAAAGAAAGGACATACGATATTGAAAATGAAAAGGATCACAAAACTGTTACCACTAATTAGGTTTTATAAATAAAAATCCCCAATTCAAAATTTGTAAGAAGTAATCAGCAGCTTCCTCAATAAGCAAACTTCGCAAAAAGCTGACAATAAGCAAACAAAAATTCAAGCATACTGGAAAAATAATACATGTACATAATCATTTATGTTGAGAATATTAACAAAATTTAAGCCAAATGTGAAATAAACAGATACATGTAAGTAAGCAGCAAAACAAAAGAAAGCAGGCAAGAAACAAAACTGAAGATGGAGCTAAACTATAATGCAGGTTTATTGACAGAAAGTACATGAGCAACTCTTAAGATTTACTTTACCAGATACAAGGATACCTGAGTCATCATCATATAATGACAGGCACAAGTATCACACCTGGGAAGAAATACTGCACATGAAGAAGTTCTTTTTTCTTCTTCTTCATGGAACTTCAAGCATCTGCCATATGTAATGACATTCTTGCATGGTTCAAGTCTTATCTCTGATAGCAGCTGGTGAATGTGGCTGGTACTCCTTCTCTCTGAATACCTATGGTGCCCCCCTGATGTTTATTTTAGGTCCTCTTTTATGTCTTACCAGATTGATAAAAAAACCTGTGTTCATCTTAAAAGTGTCACAAACCAAAAAAAAAAATGTAAATGATGACCCCCTTTAAAAATATACTTAAAGTTAATAGTATATTTTTAAAGGGGGTCATTATTTACATTTTATTTTTTGGTTTTTGACAC